AAAAATTAATATATCCTGAAAAAGACTGGGAAAATTATAAGCTGAAAGTCAAGCATACCTTAAAATAGGCCGCTACTACATGGCACGCACAGGAACTCAACAGCACTGATTCGTGTCAACTGCTGGACCATTTCTCCTTGCATCCTTATGAAACCTATGTAATCGTCCCATAGGTAACCGGGATCCCCAGCGACACTGTAAATCGTTCCAATTCTTAAAAAGTTACACATACGCTAGCTGCCACGGGGAATACCTGGCACGACAAATACAAGCTGCTCCCTCATTTTTTCATTTCTCTTCTGTAAATGGATTTCTCCCAGCAGAACTACCTCAAACTGAACGCATTCTCTCTTTCGGCAGGTGCTGCAACATCTTCAGAATTACCTCTTTCATCCAGCGAAATTCCTCTCACCGCTTTTCTGCTACGCAGCTCACCGTGCGTCATCTCGCATGCGTTTCTTAAAATCTTCGCCTGTTCTGATACGAGCCTGACAGCCCAGGCAACGCATGGATCTCGGTGCCTGGAAATTTTCACTTCTGGAAATCCGCGCTTTTCTGTTGAGTGATAGCGCTGTTTCATATCATTCTAATGATAAGATTACCGCTAGCAGCAGAAGCAGCAGCAGCTACATCCACAAAGCAGGAATGTGTCAAAATATCGGCACGCATCAGAGTTGCCGTTGCGACCATGTGTTTTACGCAGTTCTGTCCAGGGGACGGTTGCTGTTAAGAATATTCACTATTTTATGGATTGCGTACACAAAAAATACGAAATCCCATGTGCCCAGTTCCAGGTAGGTTCACGAGAGCTCGCTTTGAATTCGTAGATTCGCACATGAACAGAAAACATCCCCCAACAATTTTAGCTTTCTATTTTGTCTAGTCCCTGAACTAAAAATCCCCCCGTGTATAACTCCGCTTGTGAGATATAAGCGTACACGAAAGCTGAATCTGAAGTTCCAGAGTTGTACATTGAGAGGAACATTGCACTAAATTTTCAGCTTTCCACCAAACCAGTTTCCGAGATGGAAAATTTTGCGCCAAAACTCCCATGTAACCGTTCATGAGAAGTGGGGATAAGTAGAGGCTGAATTTAAATTTCCGAGCGTTTAGATAGTCTTGGAAAATTTTCTTAAAATTTCAGCTTCCCGACTTTTGCGGTTCCTGAGTTAGTGATTTCGGCGTCAAAAATTTCACGCGATCACACACGACACCGAAGCATAAGTGATGGCTGAGCTTAAATTTGCGGGGTGCACGTAAGCGGAGAAAGTTTCTAAAA